ATTCAAATACCACTCGCAGCGCTAGCTGCGTTGGATGGGGGTACAGTTTTACGAAGACCAAGACCGTAGCTGGAAAAATGATATTTGTACAATTATTTCGTTCCAGCATTTTATTCAACCTGACATGACGTCGATAGATGATGTGATTTTTACATCTAAAATTTTTATTTAAGAGGAAAAAATGGGAAATGCAGCTTCAGACTCAGTCTCCCTGCTTTTCTTGGTCTCCCCCTTGTTCTAATTTTTATAAAACCAATGCCCCTTTATCCAAATTTTCACATGTTAAAAAAAAAAAACTTCATTTAAATAGTAGTATATCTATTCAAAATAATTTTAAGTACAGTATTTCTAATTCGTTTTGTTAGGAGAGAGGGCAATAAGCATATTGTTTCATATTCTTTTTATTTTAAAATAGTAAATTTTTTTAATTTTTTTAAATTGAAATTTTAAAAATAATATATATATTTTTATATTTAAATTTTTTTGTTGTTATAAGATAATTAATCACAATAAATAAATAAATAAATAATAAGATTAAAATAAAAAATATTTATTGAACTTAAAAATGAAAAATAATAATTAATTTAAAATAAATTCAAAGTAAAAAATTATAGTTATTTTAAGATAAAAAAATAGTTAATTTATATAAAAAATATAAACATTGCAATTGATTTAATAAATAAATCAATTAAAATTATTAACATGAAAATAGTGTAAAATAAATGTTAATTTTTATATTACTTAATTATAAAAAAATATATTTATTACACTTTAAATTTATTATTGATTTGACCAACCCTTTTAAGTAAATATAAATGATATTCTTTTTATCTCAAAATAATAGACTTTTTTAATTTAGAATTTTTCTTAAAATAATAGTTATTTTTATTTTAAGAGAAATGAATATTTTTTTCTACTTTAATTTTATAACTATCTTTCAACTTTAATTATCCATCATCTTATAAAATATTTTTTATTTTATTTATTTTTTAAAAATAAAACTTATTCCTAAATTCTTAATGTTACAATCAAATCCAAAAACATCTACTATTTTAGGATAGCAGGAGTAATTAAAAAGTAATGAAATTATTGTGAAAAAAGCAATAAACGGATAAAAGAAAGAAGATAACTGATAAAGGCTTCAAGTAATAATGGCATTGTAGCTTATGTTGGGATTAATTTTTTGTTTTGGTGATTTTAAAAGTATACCTCTGATAATATTAATTTAGTAATTTTTTTTAAATATTAATAATCTTTCACAAATGGTTATGAATATTCAACAAATTGTTTGGGTTGTATAAAATTTTTTATAACTTGTTAAATATAATATTTAAAAATAGGATAAAGATATGTACACCGACCGGTTCAACACCGGTGGGTGCACATATTATAAAATAAAAGTTTTCCTGTATAAACCAAATGATAAAATTACAAATTTAACTTTCCTCCTCTTTTTCTTCCATCATCCTCTAATCACCATTTTTACCCATCATCTCCGATCTCCATCATCTCCGATCTTCATCATCCTCCACCTTCATCACCGATCATTCTTCATCATCATCAATCACCCATCTCTAATCTTCTCATCACCTTCATCACCGATCATTCTTCTTCTTTCCCTCACCTCTTTCTTTCTTCTCTCTCGGTGGAGAACCCAGCTCGGGTTCTTTGCTCGGGTTCTCACAAGAGAAATTCTTTTTTTTTTTTTTTGGATGGATGGATTTGGTGAAATGCTTGAGTTTTCCTGGGATTTTGTTGTTGAATGTGCTTAAATGCTTGAATTTTGCTGGGATTTGGTTGTTGAATGTGCTTGAATGCTTGAGTTTTGTTGGGATTTGTTCTGTGGGAAATAAATTTAGTGAGAAGGGTAAATTTGTAATTTTACTGTTTAAACCAATTTGGGTGTAAAAATGGGTGTCGGTTCATGGGTGTCGATTCATGGATGTATGTATCGCTGTCCTTAAAAATATTAATATGTAAATTAATTTTAATTTATTAAATAATAAATATTAATTATTTTATTATTTATCAACTAACATCTAAAATTATTAATTATTTTTAATTGTTAAACTAAATAAAAATAATATTTTAAAAATAAAATTTAAAAATTTTATGTTGTCTAAAGAATTATTAAGTTAGCGTAGCCATTCTCAATACTACCATCAGTTTAGATAGTTTTAGGACTTGAATAATGTGGTTT